AAAGATTGAAACAAGAAGAACAAAAGAAAAAAGAAGAAGCTGAGAAATTAAAACAAAAAGAAGAACTTAAAACAAAGGAAACTAAAAAGTTGGAGCAAGAAAAGAAATCTAAAAAGAAAGAAGATACTGCACGTAAAAAGAAAAAAGAAGCAGAGAAATTGAAACAAGAAGAAGAGGAACTTAAAAAAGAGGAGATTGAAAAATTGAAACAAGAAGAGGAGCGTAAGCAAAAGGAGGAGATAGAGAAGCAGGAAGAAGAACGTAAAAAGGAAGAAGAAAAAGCACAGAAATTAAAACAAGAAAAAGAACGTCAAGAAAAAGAGAAGGCTGAAAAAGCGAAACAAGAAGAAATTCGTAAAAAGAAGGAAGAAGAAATTGAAAAAGCAAAAGAATTTGAATCAGAAGCTTTGAAACAACAGGAAAAATTACGAAAAAAGAAAGAGGAAAGAAAATTACAACAAGAGGAAGATGAACGCAAGGAACGAGAAGACGCTGAAAAACGTAAAAAGGAGCAAGAACAAAGGAGACATGAGAGAGAAGAGCGTGCGAAAAAAGAAGAAGAGGAGAAGCTCAAACGCGAGGAAGAGGAACGTAAAAAGAAAGAGGAGAGACTGAAGTTGAAGAAAGAGGAAGAAGAACATAGAAAAGCTGAGGAAGCAGAACGATTGAAGAAAAAACAAGAGAGAGAGGAACAAAAACGGGAGGAAGCTAAACGTCGAAGAGAAGAACAAGAGAAGCAAATAAGACAGGAAACTGAAAAAGTGAGAAAAGCGGAGGAGGAACGACTAAGAAAAGAAGACGAAGCTCACGAACGTAGAAGAATGGAACGTGAACAAAGAAGGCAGGAAGAGATGGCCAAGTTACGCAGAGAAGAAGAAGAAAAAATCAAAAGGGAGGAAGAACGCAAAAGAAAGAGAAAAGAGACGGAAAGGCAATGGAAAGAAGATGAGGAAGCTATGAAAAAAAGAGAAACTGAACGTTTGGAAAGAAGAAGAGCTGAGGAGCGACAGAAACGAGAAGAAATGGAACGTTTGCGACGAGAAGACGAAGAGAGGAGAGATAGAAGGGAAGCTGACAGGCAATTAAGAAGAGAAGAAGCAGCACGAACGATGAAAGAGGAAGAAGAACGTTTAAGAAGGCGATACGACGAAGAAGCATCCAGACTTCGAAAACGAAGACAAGAACAGATAAGAGACGACACTTGGTCACGAATGCGACAAGGTGAATCCGATCAATTGTTCCGAAAAATGACGGAAGACGCGTTTAGAATTGAAAAAACAAAAACCACTTCTTCCGATATGGATCTTGTTTGGCGAGACAAACGAGACAAATCTTATCGATATGATTCTGGTTTCGATTCTGGACTTTCCAGCACTTCCAGATCATACAGTTGGAGAGATTCTCTTACTTCTCTAACAAGGAAGAGGATCGACGATTTTCTCGATTATAAATTGAGAGATACTTCGATCGACAGATACTATTTCGATACAGGAACGTATTACAGGAGAAGAAGAAAAAGGGACGATCGAATTACTCGAGCGAGATCCATCAGTTTGTTAAAGTACGATGATTATTCGACGGGGGATAGTGACGCGACTATCACAGCTGTTAGTGTTAGCAAACCACCGAAATATGGCGGGAGACCAAAGATGACATCACGAACGGATCTGGATGGATCGAATCTTTCCATATATTTACCTCCTATTAAAGACAAGGTAAGAATATATAAGTTCTTTATTAAGAATAAAATATTAATATAGATAATAATTAAAATTGTTATTAAGCAAATATATAATAGTTGTTAAAGTATTGTTCTAAGAATATTCAAGAAGTATTTAGATTCAAAGATATTAAAAAATTACATATTTATAAGCCTATATAAAAACCAAGAATAAGATTATCTCGTGAAGAATGATAAAAAAAAAATTGTCAAATATCGGAAAAAAGATTTGTCAAAAAAAAAATGATTTTAATTTTATCTTACAGCTTGCTCCGCGCGAGAAAGGAAAGAAGCCGTCATTCTGCACAAGATTGACGAATAGGACCGTAGGGGTTGGTATGAAGACGAGATTGACCTGCACTGTCCTTGGCCACCCGGAACCAAGGGTTTACTGGACGAAGGATGGAGAGAAACTCGACATAACCACGAACAAATATAAAACTCGATTCGATAACGGTATGGCTTACTTTGAATTGCACGAACCACTCCCCGAAGATTCTGGATTGTATACCTGTGTTGCCGAGAATGTTCATGGAATCGCAAGTACCGAATCCGCGTTAAAAGTTTACCCCGATTTCCAACCAACATTGTCACCCCCTACTTTCACAAGATCGATCAGAGGTGAGTAATGTACTAACCTAGTGTTGAATATTTGTAAGAAAATGTATTAAGAAGAAATATCGTAATTTCTTAACGTAAAAAAAATTAAAAAGAATTACACGTGGTGTTAACGTCAAGATGTATCTTTTAACTATTTAATTTTTGCATGAAAACTCTTGCTACTTTTGAGAAAGATTCCAAAACCTTTAAATGTGATTACTTACAGACTTATAAGATTTTGTAATTGTACGAAAATAATATTGTTAGAATTTGTAATATAATTTGAAAATATAAATTTTTACATTCACAGTATTATCGTATTAATATAATAGATACCTATCGACCATCTGACAATGAATTGATCCTGGAATGTCGAGTTCGTGGCAACCCAGCACCCGTCATCTCCTGGTTGAAAGACGGTTGCATTCTTCGAGGCGATCGTTACAAACAAAGTTATCTGGACGATGATATCTATCGATTAGAGATTGCTGCGCCTAAATCTACAGATAATGGTCGATACACTTGCAGAGCTATGAACGATCTACGAACCGAAGAAATATCGCACGTTGTTCAATTCAATGGTATTCCTATTAAATATCTTTGAGTAAATTTACTTTACTTAAAAAATTATTTAAAAACGTGTATTTTTCAAGAACGAGATCGACGAATCGTGGGTAAACACGAGAAATTGTTCGACGATTACTTCAGCCTTGAAACTTACAAAAGGCCAAAGTTCTCCAGTTATTTGAGCGACTACAGTGTTCCCACTGGCGGCACCATTGCCCTCCAAGTTGAGGTCAAAGGTATTAATTAATCAATTAATTAATCAAGTGAAATTTATGAAATTCCTCGAGAAAATTAACTAATATAAAAATATTTGAATTTTCTACATACGAAATGTAAACAATCAAAGAACAGAAATAATAAATATTTAATTACAATATTAATATTTAACATTATTACATAAATATTGCAAAATCAATAAATTACAATTATTATGATTGTAATAATAAACAGTCGTCAAATTTTATTAATCGATTCCAACAAAAGACTTTTTTACAATTGTCACAGGTGTACCGGCACCGGAAGTCAGATGGTTCCGCGGCGAAAGGCGGGAGCCAGTCTCGATCCCAAAAGCGAAGACATTTACAGAATCCGGTGTTCACACGTTGGTTCTACCCGAAGTCACTGAATCGGAGAAAGGCACGTACATCTGCAGAGCAATTAACGCTTACGGCCACGTGGACAGCATTGCCACGGTCGAAGTAATTTCACCGAGTGCGATCGATGGCGGGAAACCGGCCATGTTCGTTCTAGGCCCACGGAAAAATCGATCACGGTCAATTCTGGGGAGGACGTGAGTGTCTCGTTCAGGGTCACCGGAATTCCCAAACCTCGTGGTGAGTCCGTTACTCTTAATTAATAACAATAACAATTACAAAGTTAATAAAATAATAACAATTGTAGAGTTCGACAGGATAGAGACATATCTTGTGAACATTTTCGATAAATTGGCTCGATTCACCAGCATAGCAATTGATATGCTTAAATTCGTATTCATTTTCCAGTTACATGGATGAAAGGATTAAAAGACATCACGGACGGTCTCCGATCTCACAAGGAAACGATCGACGATTACGTGAGATTAACACTGAAGAGAGTGGTAGCAACAGACGAAGGCACTTACTGTATTCTTGTTAAAAACAGATACGGTTGTGACAGAAGTTTCTTCTCGATCAAGGTAAATTTAATTCGTTGTATCTAATTATATCATATCTGTACATTCATTTGTTTCAGGTGAAACAACGTGCCAGGTCACTGACACCCGACTGGAGTTCTTTGAGCAGCCGCACCGAGACCGGAAGTTTTCTTGGTCTGTCCAGCGAGAGCCGTGACGAGGAACTCTCTTACGTGAAGAGTAAGTATTTGTTTTGTTTTAATTTGAGAAAATGAAGAAAAGGAATTAAATTGCTATAATCAATTGGAGGATTGAGAATCATAGTGGTGTAAATCCAAGCGATAGAAACTATGTTATTTTAAGTCATTTTAACTAGAGAATGTTAAAAATATATTTTTTTCTATAAAAACGATTAAAACATCGCTAGAATTAATGGAATCTTATATAAGTATCTTGTAACAATCAATGATTTCCAGGTATAAGATTTTGGGATTGAATAAATATACATTGATAACGATGACAATTCATTTAATATTCAATATTTGTAACAAAAAGAAAATTCTTTCGCAGAAATTTTGATTTTGAAAATTATGCAATGCCTTCTCCATAATAGTTTTTCGTGAATATAATAATGTCAAGCAGTACTAATTGCGTTAAAACGTATAATCAAGCAATTATAATTAGAAGTTCTATGACAGTGACTGGGTTTTACTCATACACTTGGCTCAGATTTAAGTGGACATAGTCCAAACGAGACCTGGATCATGATGACTTTACATGAAATGACGTCAATGTCTAGGCTGATCGTATGTCAAATTTCCTTTGCCACCTCTCAAGCATCTAGGAACAAAAATTTTTTTGAGAATTCTTTGAGAAATATACAGTCAATCTATTTTAGGTTTAGTCAGTTTTATTTTTTTAATGAATTAAATATTAAAAAATTTTAAACAACATGTCAAAAATGCATGTTTTTGATTTTCTTCAATGACTTGTACTTTTTAACAAAAAAGTAAAATTTTAATAATGTTCAATTACATTATTTCTGAAAAATTTCAATTGCAAAATAGTTGCAATTGCAAAATATTTTTTTGATTGCATTCAAAAAGAAAATGATTTCCTATGATTTCCATTCCTTTAGATTATTATTAAATTTTGAAATATTTGCATTAATAATTAATTTATAATTGTAAGATAAATATTTTGAAAATTCGCCAAAATTCTTTGATTAAACAAGAAAATAATGTTATATGTGAATCATATATCAAATGGTTAGCCTTAAATTTTCCAACGAGAAATTGAAAATAAAAATTGCAATAAAAGATAATAAAATAAATTTCAAGAGAAACGTGATGATCGTTCGAATAAAATTATAAACATTTTCGATTCACTCGAATATTTGAACTCGATGCTGGAACAGAGCCAAATGTGACGGTTCCTTGACCAAACCTTTAAAATATAAAATTGGTATTGCTAAATAAATGTAATACATCACAATGACAATGAAACGGAGAAGAAACTCGGATAGCATGATTAAATGCGTACACAGGGAAGAGAATTTACAGAGGTTGGAAGGGAATCGCGATTCTCAAATTAGACCCAAAGGTCTCGAGGCCTGTTGTAAATTAATTTCATGCAAATATTTGCGTGATTCTAAATTGCACGATATGTAAAGCGAGAGACAAAAGTCCATTCTTACGCAAGTTCGATTAACAAGCTTTTATTATTATTAAAATCAACCAGTAAATCCTGATTTTGGTTAAATTTTGGGCGTTCATGAAGCTTAGAAGAATAGTTAAAATTTTTAAGATAAAAATTTTATTTGAAACGATGAATAAGATAAAGTAATTTTTAATTTTTTTAATTCTTTGAAATATCTTAGCGATACATGGAAAATTTGAAAAACTCTAGTGCATGATGAGTTACATTTTTAGAATATTTTAAGAAAATCAATTTTTACAGTTTTCAATTCTTTTTCTCTTATTTTTTAAATAAAACTTTATGATAGTGTGAAATAAAGCAAAATTTTAAATTACAAATTATAATGTTCTATCAAACAAAATATTCAAAATTTTGAACATTAATTTCGCCAAAAAATAAATTATCTTATGGTCCATTATACATTATTTTTGTGTGAATTTCTTTATAAAATAATAATATACAAACACTTTTTTCAATATTTGTATATCGTTTAATTCTTTGTCCAGTGAAATTGTATAGATTTTATTTTGATAGATACAAGTGTTTCGATAAATCTTACGTTTAGATTATATATTCAGACTGGATATTATTATATAACATTATTATTCTTTTGTGTCGTTTTTTATATTTATTCGTATTATATGAAAATAATTATAGCAAAATTAAACATTTTATAAAAAAGTATAATAGATTATTTAATGATAATATACTTCCCCTCCTAACTCCAGAAAACGTGCAAAAATAAACATAGCGAACTGTAGGAACACCTGATTCCTACAAAGTAGGCCATTCAATAAATAAACATTCTAGATCGTATTACGGAACTTGTAATTTTAGAGGCAGCGCGCTTTCAAATACATCTCTTCTCCATAAATTTAAACAAAAAAATAAAATTTTCGTCTCCTGGAAAGAAGTAACAAAAGTGGAGCTTAATCCAGGTTCAATAACCGTGAATAAAACTATTTTTTATTCGTTCGTTTCGAAAATTTTATCAGCAACAATTAAGTTTATCATGAAATTGATAAATGTTTGAATATGAAAAAAGAAAGAGAGAATACCTTAAAAATCGTATAATTGATAAAGTAAAACTACAAAATGTTCACAAAATTAAAATTAAAATAATCCAAAAAACCTACGGTTGGCGTGCATATATTGACAAAATAACTGTCCACGAACTCTTATTTAATACATTGGAAACAGCTGTTGCTTTAAATCATCGCCAATGCCATAACACAATTGCCAACGAGTGAACGGTTTAACAATAAACGTCAACTCGTCGTCAAAATCTGGCCAGAAATTTGGATACAAAGTGGATCGACGATCCATCGATCCGTGAAACAGGCGACACATCAAATTCAAACGACAAAGTGTAACGATCGAGCCGTAATGACGGATGAAATACGCGACACCACCCACTACGTGTACCTGCACCGATGGGAACACCTCACTCACTCGGGTTATTTTCGGTGATTCCCCCCTCCAACATCCTCGAGCGTCCACAAATTCGAAATTCAGTCGGCGTCGGGACGCGAGTCATCTCGTACGTCATCCCACTTTTTACCAGCGAGACTTCAAGGCAAATAAACACACAATCGCCTTGACATTTTTTTTCTTTTTACTCTGCCAAAGAAAAAATTTTGCAAGAGAATTCGTGAGATGAGTGGTGTCGACGATTTTTCGAACTTTCGTTGAATACGTGGAATTTTTCCATGACTCTGGTTTTCAATGAAACGATGAGAAGGGGTGTGAAATGAGGATGAAGCCGCACGATCATGGGATCGTCGTGAACAACGGCGACGAGGACGTGACGATCACCCGTCTGAGGCGGTCGTGGTCCGAGAAGGATTGCTTGATCACGGATTTTTTGGAGTACCTTTACGGGCATAGAGGTTAGATTAAAATTAGAAAATTTGTGAATTTGATGAAATTTACGTATTTTATATATTAGCCTCTTCGTGGTAACTGTTTACGATTCTTAACGCGGTTTTTATCGTCTTGGATCGTCTTAAGTGGCGAGAAGATTGTAAGCAGTACCGGCTTCAAGTTAAACAGTGAGATCATCGTGATTACGCTGTAACGTGTGGCAATTATTAGTAATAAAATCAAGTTCAATGTGTAGATAATATAAATTCAATGTAAGAGATTCATTTCATAAGATTCAAATATTATTAGTAAGATTTGTATTATTCTATTTTGGTATTTGCGAGTGTTGAATTGCGAGTAGAATTTCTGGTTTCGAATAATGAATACTTGCCAGTTTTGAAAATCTACTTCTAATCTATTTTCATATTAGAATCAGAATTTTCATAGAGAAGTTCTTTTCTACAAAAATTCTTTTTCTTCGAAACAATATTTTTCAAAATCAATTCCATTCGTCTCCGTTCCAGATGTTCCAGGGCCAATTACAAGCGAGCCGGTGGTGGTTGATGGGGGAAAGAACTGGCTATCCTTAAGTTGGGGAAAAGCTGAAAGAAGAGGACCAGCGCCTGTCATTGCTTACAGAGTCGATGCTTGGTTGTTGGGCAGCGATGGTGGTGCACGATGGGTCGAGGTATCATCGATATTGCTTACCGATACGTATAAGTTTTCGAAGAGTTAAGCAATACGTGTCGTAAGAAATTGAAAAATCAAATATTAAATCAACTTGAAAAGTATTAAGAAAAAATACCAATAATGGTAAATGTAAATATCAATTGATATAATGTATGAGAATCGTGCCACGCTAGAAGTAAACTTGTTGACACGCCGAGGTCTCATACATTAAAATTAGATATTCTGAATTTTTATGCAATAACATGAGTTTTTTTCTTTTCTGTGTGTTATTATGCATCACTTCTCAAGGAGAACAAGTAAGATATATCTATAATGTTATGCCATTTCAGAAATTATATGTATTTAAAATTTTATTTTATTTATTTATCTCATTGATACATCTTATTGCCATATTGTTAAATTATAGTACATAGTAGCTTCTTTAATCAGTATTAATTTATTTACGATCAGGATAATCAATTGACTTTTTTCCCTTATTATAGTATAAAATACTGCCAATCTTTAATAATAATTTATTTTTAATTCCTTTTTCTGACGGAAGAAAATAACAATAGAACACTTGTAATGAATAACAACTTATTCTTGATTTTATCTTCTTTCTCAAAACAAAAAAGTTTTATTCAATCATCATTCTTTTCCTTATTTAGATACAAAATTCCGATTATAAAAAATTGAATCTCGTACAAGATTTTAATCACAAAAATCACTGTTCTTTACCCCAACTTGTAATTAATTTTATTTCATTTATCTACTTTTCTTCCTCTTCTTTATTAAATTTATTCCCTTTTCACCTATTTCTTCTCAATCTTTCTCAATCGATCGATTTTATTCTAATATCAGCTGGGCATGACACCGATAAACGCGTTCGACGCGTTCAACTTGAAGCCTGGGGGCGAGTACAAGTTCCAAGTAACTCCAAGAAATCGTTACGGATGGGGGGAGTCTGTCACTATGACGAACTCCGTCAAGGTCAGCGAGACCGTCGACCTTCCAGAGTTCACGAAGATCCTTCCAGGTCAACTGAAAGTTCTCGAGGGTAGCGCAGTCAAATTGGAGTGCGAGGCAAGTGCGCTATTATTATCCAACCTTCGTTTCGCCACTTTTGTTTCGCCCTATTTATTATTAAACTCGGCTACGATTTTCACGCGTGAGTAAAATTTGGACGTGGCGACAACGATAATTAATCTGAAGAAAATTGTAGAGAAATTTACAGAAATCTTTGTGCGAAGGAATTTTTACATTTGATTACAATTTCTTTACGTGTTGTCCATATTTATCCAATCTTCAATTATGATAAAAGTACGTGGAGATGTTTTTCTTTTTTTTTTTTTTTGATTTTTCACCAATATTTTCCATCGACATATTTCTCCGTTATGAATAATAAACGAGGTAAATTTATAATTAATTACGTTTAAAATACGAAATGGATCTTAATAACACAATTTGTTGCTTGAATTGCAACTGCGATCACATATCTTTTACTTAAGAGGACTTTAAATTTAACTTTTTCCTTTTTACATTGGCACACGGTCGTTTCGCGTGTGTCATAAAGTACATTACACGCGTGTATTATTCACCGAACAACTGTACTTTTCGATAATGAAGAAATCGAATGCAACTTTGCCAACGAATTCTGTAGTTTGAAAAACAAGTTCCTGTGAAATTTTTATAAAATTTCTGACTTTTCTTTTTCCTTGTTTTTCTTAAGGGAGAAAAAATAATTGCAAAGATTTATACGAATCTGTGTTACAGATCCGTGGTGATCCAAAGGTGGACATAAAATGGTACTACGAGTCGATGGAAATCGATCCAGACGGCGACACGAGGTGGTCGATCTCTCGTAGCGGATCCAAATGTTGCTTCACGATTGAGAACGTTGAAGAGAAAGATAGCGGGAGATATGTTTGCGAGGCGGGCAATTCGGTCGGAAAGGTTTCGTCGTTCGCAAGATTGCTCGTCGTCGATGACCCAAAGATCATCGAGGCTGATGAGAAATTTAAATCGAGGTATAAATAATCGACACCGAGATCAGCGTTTAAATTAGTACACAATTTACGTGAAAGTGAATTGCAAATTCTCCGTAACACTTTTGCGACTAATTTTAGCAGAAAGCAATTTTAATCCTCGAAAAATAGCGTGGAATAAATTAAGATAAGATTAAGAAAGGAGAAAAATATAATAAGCGGAGTGAAAAAACATATAACGATAAATTAAAAAAAATATTTTTTTTTAATTTTTATTAATATCGTTGTTAATTTCTTTTAATTCAATTTTATTTATCATAATTTATATACACGATATTAATCCTGACTTAAAATTCAAATTTTAAAATAACTGATAAATCAGCAACAAAACAATGAATAGAATAACAAATGCAAGTAATTTTTAAGTAAAGTACGTCGATGTGAAATTTTTATATCACAGAGCTTTAGGGGACGAGACGGAGGACAGGCCGCCCCAATTCACAATGAGAATTCGGGACAGAAGAGTGCAAATGTCCTACCCTGTGAGACTCACGTGTCAAGTGGCAGGACATCCGGCTCCTGAGGTCACGTGGTACAAAGACAGCGCGGAGATTCGACAAGACGGTAAATATACTCTTAACCAACCATTTCTTCATACGAAATTAAATATTCTCGTGATCTTGAAGAGCGCCACGTATTCTGGAACAACGACTCGAATTTCCACACGTTGGAAATTATTCACTCGATGCTTGAGGACTCTGGTTGTTACACCGTGATGGCGAAGAACGCGAGCGGCTCGGTGTCCTGCCGATGCATCCTGGTCGTGGACAAAGGAATTCGCGCCTACATAGCCCCGGATTTCCTGTGCGGCTTGGATCCGCTTTATACTGTGAAATTAGGGGAAGATCTGCGGATGACTGCTCAAGTTGAGGCGTATCCCAGTGTCGGTATCGTATGGTAAATATCTATAGTTGGAAAAGAGGAATTAATGATAATAATTTTTCACAATTCTACGAAACAATATTTATTATCACTTTTTTTGTTACAATTTTTTCCATTAATAGAATTCTCATGTTTTTCGCTCGAATGAAATTTTAAAATAGCATAAATGAGAATGTTTACAGGTTTTAAAAATTCACAGGTTTAAATAGATATAAACGGATAATGTGATATCGAATGACATCAAATTTTTATCGAAATGAATTCGATGTACATTCCTTTTCAGGCATCGAGACGGAATTCGTTTGCGGCCAAGCAGAAGAGCAGTGATGACCTTGAACCACGATGGTACGGTCGAGCTGTCCTTGGGCAAGGTCACAGCAAGGGATGCCGGTGTTTATTGTTGCACAGCCACGAACGAGGTTGGATGCGCCGAGACGTCGACACGGGTCGCCATTATTGGCGCCGAATCGCAAAATGATGAGGTGTCCGTCGATGGAGTGCCAACTTTGACGGTCATATCGACGCCAGACATACCGTGAGTTCGATAACATTCAACGACGATTACTTTACATCAACTTTCGTTCGAGATAAATATTAAAATTAGACTCAATCAACTCCTAGTTATATCGTTGGATATTTTAAGAAATATCTAATACAATGATAATAATAACAATGGAAAAATATATATTCTTTTTTTTTGATTATATAAAAAGATGAAAAGGTTTTCTTAAAAAAGAAAGATTTACTTTCAATTTCTCAGATACTCGAAGGAGCCTCTGTTCGTCACGAAACCTCTATCCACAGAGGCAATCGAAGGAGACACCGTCATCATATCCTGCGAGGTCGTCGGCGACCCCAAACCGGAAGTAATATGGCTGCGCGATTTCCTCAGGGTAAGATCTTTAATATCGTATTTTCATCGCTCGAACGACTTACATGAGTAATTCATGATTGCATGCAGTAAGTATATCTCTTCTCTCAAAATTAAAATAAACGATCTTAGAATAGTTCACCAATTTTATGGAACTCACGACGTGTACGTTCGTTACGTGATCAGCATATACATTAGAATCAGAAGATTTTCGAGTAAATCATCGATTTCAATTTTTTATCACTGCCATTCCAGAATTTGCTTATGGAAATAGATGATGGAAAATTATTAAAAGAGACTCCAGTAGATACATTTATCACAAAATATATATTTCGCGATAATTTTCTTTGTTAATTGTCTTTGAATAATTAAAAAAAAAAGTAAATCAAGTTTATAAATCTACGTTTGCCGCGCAATTCTTTATGAAAATGGACGACCGCAGCAATTACGGTATACACATTTGGTGATTTATCGTATGAAATCAAAAACCACAAGGCGAAATTTCAGATATAAACCGAACATATAGCTATATGACCTATATAGATAGCTAAAACACACACATAAGAAGAATTTCGTAACGCTGCGTTGCTAAAAGTGCGAGTGCAATTTGTCTCGAATTGTGCACGGTCGTACATCCAAAAGAAAGAAAGAAAAAAATAAAATGGTTCACGCAAATATTATAAATTTGATGTAACTCGTCAACTTTACAAATCACACCATTCTGATTTACCGCACGCTCGATCTCGAAAATTCGAGCTCGAACGATCGCACGAGATGATCGATCGAATAGACGATCCATGGATCGGCGGGTGGTTGATCGAGCGAAAGAGAGGCGCGTTGTGCAATTGGTGAAATGACGTGTCCCTAATGCCGTGTTGATGTGGGTCAAGGTGATCGCGAAAAAGAAATGACAACGTAACATACAGCATTATGCCCATAAATGGGCCAAGCATTATATGCGTCGGGGAAACGGCATTGATATTGGACGGCTCTTTAAAAGGTAACAGTAAGTGAGGTTAGACACCCGGCTCCCAAGAAGAAAGAGAGAAATTTATTGCTCAATCGAGTGGAAGCCCCTCCTCTCTCCCCCCCCCCTCCCCCCTTCTTGATGACAATGGATACGGAATTGCGCGCTTCGATCCGCCGAAACTCCTTATACGTGCACGGTATTGTTATTTGGGACGATCAGATCGAGAGGTATTGTGGCGCGATTATCGACGAGCGAAAGAAAATATTGGGCACAGGCCGATACGAACAACTTGTTGCTTAATTGCTCTTAAATCCTATCTCGTTAATTTTAACGTTTGGCATTTAAATGAAAATATTGTAATTGGAACAGTGTTTTCAAAATAATTGTTAAATTATTTAATAAGCGTAATTATATGATCATCGGATTTAAAAGGAGAATTAATGTTAGAAAATGAAGGTGTTCAAGGTATTAAAAAATTATCTATTTAGCAACAGAGATTATCAATAATAAGGTTATAATTGGTAAGAGTTATTGAATGGTAGTAGTACAAGTGATTATGGACAAAAGCAATGTCGTTTAACTTTTAGACAAATAATTTTTAAATGATCCAATGTAATTACGTGACAAGATTTTATTAAACGTTAGATGAAACGTAGAGGAGTCATTGTTTTCAGTAATTGCAATAATGATTAATAAGTAAATTGGTATAAAGAGGTACATAGGAAAACGACGAAAGAATATCATCGCGCATAGTTCAAGCGATATGCCATTCACGTCTTCATCGACAGTTTGAACTCTTCCGAGTTTTTTCCGGCGATAGCACGCGCGAAACTACGGTCAACGAATGCTAATTAATAGTAATTTTAAATACGTTGACGTCATTCTAGCGATGGATCATAATTGCGTCTGATTATTAAAAAGCATACCTGAAACGAAAATCGTCAAAAGATCTGAACATGATATTGACACTTCTGAAATCTAGATTCATTCGTTATAAATATTAGGTTAGATACAGATTTTTTTTATATCCAATTTTTGCTTTACGTCTACAAGTAAGGCTAAAATATCGTGTAATTAAAAATTTATAAATTATTTTATTATTAAGTTACAACAAAAATATGAAATGTGATACTACAGATACTTATATCATATGTTAGTATCGATATATTATTTATTGTATAAAACAATTTAATAACAGGATACATATAATATGCAAAAAGATACGAAAAATTCAAAATAAACATGATATTTAAAGAGTGAAATAAATCTCTATTTAAAATCGATGCTCTTAGTGGTGTTGATAAAAATTTATACTTATATAACTAGTATAACATAAATATTAAATACGTACTTTGCTGTATAGCAAATAAGAAAAATAATAATTATCATTTTTCTTATTAATATTTTATATTTTCCGTATAATTTCTTAATAAAAAAAATTTTTTATCGCATGAAAAACATAGAACATCCATATATTTCAGAATTATTTCAATATAGCATACGTTTAATTTAAAAATTTAGAATAAAGTATTTTAAATACGAGAGAGAATATTTTTCATTAAGTATTTTCTATATTACGCAAAAATATTTCACAATTATTTTTATAATATATATATACACTTCTATTTAATACGCCAACCAAATCACGCAAATAAAATATTTCCAATGGAAGAAAAGATATTTGTCAATAAGTAAATTAGGCATGCGTTTATGCAAAATCGAAAAAGAAACCGGAAGCGATCGGTGACCGGATAAACAGGCGTATTTGGTAGCCGCGTCACTAATATCTGCATTATCGAAAAGAGCGCGAGAGAAGAGGCTCCCCACTTTTCCTGACGAAGTCGACTTTCTTCGTCGATGGATCGGTAGTGTAAAACCACGGGCGGCAAAACAGTCGTCTCGTGTCTTTGGCCAACGAATAGCCACTTCGTCCACCAACGATCCCTCCAGATCGTGGTTTTTGCGATCGACAAGTGACATGGATATCTCTTGTCCGGACTATTCCGTGTATTCGTTGAAAATCTCCTGACCAAGAAAGTGATCCGATCTATCAAACCGATTGACCGACCGATTTTTCTACTTTGGATTTGGAGTGTGTTCGATGTGGACATTTGAAACGTAAGCAGAAATTAATCCTTTTTATTTTTTCTACTTAATTTCTTTTGATTTTCTCCCTCTTTTTTTTTTCTCTTATGGAATAATAAAAAATTGTATTATGAGTACAAATTCAAATTGTATTACAAGTACAATTTGAAATTGAATTTAATTTATATAAATTCTTTTTGAATTTTGAAGAATTTAACTTTATTACAGTGTGTTGTGATAGCTGCATTTTCACAATCTTCGTTCCGTGAATATCAATTTTTTTTTTATTTGAAATGTAAGACTATAAAAAGATAGTTTGCGATTAAAAATAATTGAGAATGTTTCAATTGAGTCTTTATGCATTTTTGTGCTATTTTCTGTTAATTGATATTGCATAAGTTTGTCACTCGTATATGTGACACTTAATATTGTATTTTTTACTTGACATCCAATTTGCAAAAACTTGTAAATTCATTTATACAATCTTATTTTTATTGTTTTATGCACAATATTCCATTTTATTTAACTTGACGTTAAAATCTATGAATTTACATATATTAACGTTCTTGTTTACCTTACAGAAGACATTTTCTCTTCTACTTGACACCTAATCTATATGAAAAACTTTTTATCTCGCAAAACACGTCTATTTGATACAATTTTTTCTCTTCATTCAACTCGGTTCATTATTATTCATATTTTTATTATAATCGACGATCAATCAAAATTCACTCTCAATCCAAAAATCAAATATTATTCAGCTAGATGACAAAATCGTATAGATTTTATTTTTTATATAAATCAAAATTACATAACACAAGGGTTACAAAAATATAAATTAAAAAGCTATTAAAATTGTCCAATTTAAATATCTATATGATTTTGCAACCTTTTGAAACATATATCTACTTCAAAGATAACATCGTCCCTTTCAACTGCACAATTAATTTCAAATCCCCTTCCTCTGATTATCAATTATATATCCATATTACAATTTATTTATCTTTATTACAATAAAGATAATTCTTCTTCCTCAATTAGCCTTCGATAGCATTCTTAATTTCGTTACTCTTGTCTATTATACTTGTGTTGCTTTTAATCTGCATCAAAAAAATCAAATCCGCGCGATTTCATCATCAAATCAATCGTCGAACAATGTTCCTTTCAAGTTTATTGAAATATCATCTAATCGGTGTTCAAGATCTCAAAGCCGCGATCTCCGCGGCTCTGAGTCATCGATCGATCTCTTAGGACATTTATCGAGCTGGTCGACGCTTGAGCGCGAATGTCAGCGCCTGTTCACAGCAATATTGGCCGAGTTCGAGTTTCCTCTCTCGTTCTTTCGTCGACCTGCACGCGTCTCGACTGCGAATGCGCGCCAAATACGTCCAAGTTTGTTTTCAACTGCAGCTGCGGCGCTGTTAAATGAAACGATTTCGCGATAGAGATCGACGATTGATCGGTCAAAAATATATTTGGAAAATTTATCCGGTCGATGACTTGCTCTTTCACTCGAAATAAAATTCTTATGAACATGGATGGAGCTTTAAGTAAGAGTGTCTTGTTCTTCGAATATCATATGCATTTTACGCATATATAGATTCATATATATATTGAAATTTTTCTTAAATGCATAAACAATCGTTGATTCCATTTACGAATAGATAATGTCAAAAATCTCTCTCTGTTAGGGATCGATTAAAAATTATTGTATTGGCTTTAATATATCGTTCGATATATTTTCTTTAAATAAAAGCGTAGTTTTTCGTATGGATCGTAAAATTTTGTTAAAAAAAAGATAAGAGCCGAGTTATTAAATTAAGTTTTTTTTAATTTTACATTTTCTAAATTAATATTATTTTTAACGAATCGCATATTACTATGCACATTTATTATGTACTAAAAAAAAATATTAGCACTACTAAAGATTGAAGAATTATTACAACGATTCTAATAAAAGAATCGTTATTCGATTTATTATATCAAGTATATTTGCTTAAAAAATATAAAATTTAAAGTTTTTTTGAAAAAAATAACAATTCCAATAAAACTTAATTGTCACGTTATTAATTTTAATAAAAATATCCATGTTCGATTTATTATTTGATTATTTATCGTTGATTCGTTTACATCCACGAAACAAACGTAACAAATAATACCTTTGAATTTAATTATTAATATTATCAGTGTTCCTGTTAAAAATTATCGTATGAATTTTAATAAAAATATCATTGTTCGATTATTTATTGCTTAACCAACTCGTAAAAATATCGCATGCACCTTCATCCTAGAGTTTAATTAAAAATTATCGCACTGAATTTAATCATGTAATTCGCAATACATCAAACTTCGTATAATTAAATGATAATAATTGAGTTAATAAATTAATTAATAAATACGACTTCTCTCGAATTCGATTAAAAATTATGGCGCCATTACTCGTGCACGTATATATTATTACACACGAGGGGGAAAAAAACAAAAAAATTAAAAATAACTTGTATTCGTCGTTTGTGAATTCAATAAATACGTAAATATTTCTCAAAAACACGTCGCAGAATTTCTGCTCGTGTTTCCTGAATAGATTCTCTTTTACCACGTCGAGAATCCGCGTTTTACACGCGTAAATATAGATCTATATAAGATGACATTGCAACAAGTCCTTGCAGCAGCCGGCTCTGCCTCAGTTTATGGCGCCTCTCTTCCGTAACGGGAAGTGTCGTCCGCATAAATTTCATCGTAGGCGAACCGAGACAGATGAAAGACAGATGGGTCTCAGAAGGTCCATTATGTCACGATACGGGTTCTAGCATTAGAGATACTGAAAACTTCATTTCTCCATGACAATCTCTTGATAAATCAATGTCAATTTTCGTCTTCGATCGTTAACTTGGATCGTTATTATTCCTAAAAAGTGCAAAATTTACAGCTGTTGGTATACGAAAGTTTAAGTTAAAGGGTTAAGTTTGTATTCGATGAAGAAATGAAATGGAAATATATTTCGATCTTAAAGAATGGAAATAAGGAATAGATTTGCGTTAGATGAAACGAAATGAAGATAAAGCGAGAGGATAATATTTCTTCTTTACATTCGATTTCAAACATTTTAATCGAAGAATTTATTCGATGAAGTAAAATAAGGCGTAAAGTGCTAAATTGCTTGTTATCGAATAAATGAGACGATTCTATATTTATCACTCCATCATCTCACTCTTTCGAGTGAATATTTTTTTATATTCGATTTTTAAAAGCCAAAAGAGATACTGAATAAATAAATTTCAACTAAATTTCATTTTTATTTTGTAATCTACTCTTGGAAGATATCCCACAATATATATCGAAATATCTTTTTTTTTTCTTGAATATTTATTAGCATCCAAGAAAGGATGTTGGATGAATCTTTTATCAGACAGACAGTGAGAAAAATTGAGGTAATAAACGAAGCAATTAAAAGCGCGATTTAAAGTGCGATCGAATGGAGGATATTTATAATTGTTAAGTCGCGAAAGGTAAATCAATCGAATCTTCCTTTTTCTTTTTTTTTTTTTTTTCAAGCGACCTTAATTTTTCAAGGGTTTTGAGAGGGCGTGCCAGGCGGAGAGACGTGCAATTAGCGATGAAAAACGGTAATATGCGTTGGCACTCGTGTCATACGTGCAACGAGATCAGTCTCGAACGATCTGTTCAACTTTCGCTCCCTATATGGACTAGAGACCCGACGAAGACGTTTCCCATCTCACTTTTATCACTACCCTTTCCTCTCCTTTTTACCTGGTCTCGTCTCTATGTATCTAGAACGTTTTTAATTCAATTTCGATCCCCTGAAGGGGATTCGATTAATCGATGCGAATCATCAAATGTAGTTTCGTAAAAACATTGGACAAGTTGAAGGAAAAGATTCACAATGTTGAAATGGAATTCGATTTTTCGGAAAAAAAGAATTCAAACCTACGATGGCAATATTAATTTCAATCAAAATTCAAAATAAGAATAACATTAATTTCGTAGAGAAATATTAAAATCATTACAAAGAATATTTACTTTTCGCAAAAGTAAAGAGAAGAATGAAATAAAAGATTTCTCTAGAGATCGATAAAAATAATAAAAATCAATCGTGGAATAAACAAAGGATGGCCTCAATGTAGCAGTCACGGAAATGCGGGAATTCAGGTCGAGGCCGAAGATTGGAGAAGATTGGAGATCGCCCGTTTAACAGGGTAAATTTTTTGGACTTTAAACTTCGTAGCGCCTCTCCTTTTCGTACTCGATGGTTATATCGAGTTCACGTTGGGTATTTATACACGCACTCAAGTTACGTGTTATCATTGTCAGCGATAAAAGTTGCGTTTACTAGCGAAAGATTTCAGAAGTTTCGCGTGTTCGCAGAAGAACAAAGGACACAGTATGATTCAGGGCTTGTGACGTTATTCAAATCCATTTAAATCAAATTCTCTTCGTCTACAAACATTCCTACAAGTTTTAATCAAGTACGTTTCACAACTTTGCTTGTTGATTCATCACTCGAGTGGATAACACGCGATCAATTCGATCATTTTTTTTTTTTTCATTTCGAAAAATCACCAAGCCATCTTTATTCGATTTTTTCTAGCTCAGCTCCTCCTTTGAATTCGCAAGATTTAAATTGATCGAAACAAACAAATTATAATTGGTATGTAATTTCCTGAAAAATACATCGACACGATGTTACACACGAATTCAAGTCATATCGAACTACAAATCATGCATCCGCTCGCAAAGACCACATTAAAGATATTTTAAATTTCACGTGAGAAAAATTACTAATAATCGCCATTTTCAGGCCGATTACTACAAGGACGCAGCCCACTTCCGGCTGGTCGGCGAAGGATCTCACTACCGTCTGGAAATACCGTACGCGAAACTCGACTTCACGGGGACGTATTCCGTAATAGCGCGGAACTGCCATGGGGAGGCCAAAGCCGTGATTTCTTTGCAGATCTACGCGAAAGGTGAGAGGATTTGTGATTCGTACGTTCGATCTCGCTTTCGACGAAAATCGATCATCGTTTCAGGCCAAGGCAAGGAGGAGAAAATGAAGAAATCAGATGGGATCACGCACGGGTAAGCGTGTGTATTTTGAAAATCGGTGAAAAGAAAAGAAAAAGAAATACCAAACGCGGTTTAAGCTAAGAGAAATAAGAGCGTACGATTGACAGGAACGTGCTCACTTTGCCTATGGTCACGAGGGAGCTTCGAGATCTGAGGTGTTGCGACGGCGACGCTGTCACCCTCGAGTGCAAGGTGCACGCTACGCCCGAGCCGCCACTGGTACGCTGGGAACGCGGAGGAAAGGCAGGTGTTAACAAACAGTACATTTAAAAATTTGATGTATAATTATAATTTCGTTACGTACGATTAAATATTCAACTGATTCATTTTGCTGAAGTTGATTGGATAAAGTCTGGATGAATTGATTTAGATCGATCTGTGTGATAAATTTTTCGCACATTGCATGATTAACTAACTGTTCGAGTGTGAATATGAATTTTTGTATTTAAATGATATTCAGATACTGCAAATGAGCGGGGATTTCTCGGCTGAGTTCGACGGTGAAACCGCACGTTTGTGCATCCAGCATGTTTATCCGGAAGACGAGGGCGAGTACACCTGCGTGGCATATAACGACCTCGGCAAGGCATTCACCTCGGCGTGCCTGATAGTGGATGGTAATTTCGATAAGGCAAACATTGATACAAATGCGTGGAAAAGTAGCCTTCGTTTTTTCAAAGGCTGAAAATTTACGTTCCCTCTTGGAACGAATGATCAGTTGTGGAAACGGATGAAAATGTGAAGGTTAACTCGAGCTGGAAAAGTTAAGTTGAATAAAAGTTTATTCCGTTTTGTTCGTGTTTAGTGCCCGAAGGGAAAGAGAATGTTTTGAGCCAAAGATTGACGAGACCCGCGGGTCTTCTCTCGGCAGGATCGACACCCAGATCGACACCACGATCCACGCCGATCAGGAGTTTGTCTCCGGCAGTTTCGCGTAAGTGTACATTTTTCCCTGACTCTTTCCTCTTCTTAAAGTAGAATTTACGTCTGTTTTATTAAATTTAATCATCGTTCACAATGTATGAACGTATTATTATACACAAATTAATAGATCTTGTGCAGATCTTGTTTTCAATTTTACAATTGTGATTTTCAAAGATATCGTAGCATTAGATGATCTTTAATGTAAAAAACTTAAGACTTTGTCGTTTTCCAAAATCGTGGCGATAAACTGTGTTTAAAACACCCATCGCGAATAATATTATTCTAACATACGATTCACACAAGAAATGTTACAATAGAGAATTGGAACAATTACAGATGGCCGAGAATTAAGATCCCCGCAGCTTCTTCCGCGAAGCACGTTGTCGAAGCGGCCAAAGATCAGTCCGCCGAAATTTTACGCGGTCCCCCACAACCGCGTGGTCGAGGAGGGTGAAACGGTGCGTTTCCAGTGCGCCGTGGTCGGCCACCCGACGCCCTGGGCCAAATGGGACAAGAACGGGACAACGGTCACCCCAACCGCGAGGATCTCGATGAAGGAGAGGGACGACGTGAAGATATTGGAAATCGTCGAGGTAACACTGGAGGACGCGGGACTTTACAGGGTGATCGTGGAGAACGATTACGGCCGTATCGAAGCCAGCGCTCGTCTGGAAGTTATAAGTGCGTAAATTTCACCAATGTTTCTTTCCTTTTCTCTCTCTCTTTTTGTCGTAAATTTTAGAGAAGGAATAAGTAAAAATTTTTTCAAATTACGTCGTGAGAATTTTTATTGTCATTTTTTATTATTTTTGTCAATTTTATTATTTAGCGGAAGGGGTGAAAAAAAGAATAAAGGAAAAAATCCTGTTAAATGTATAAATGAGAATTTACGTATTCGAAAAGATAAATGAGATATGGTTCCAACGTTTAATAACTCATCTCTCTCATTTTGAAATATATAACGTCAAGATTTTATTGTTTTTTATTTATTACTGAAGAGAGAGAGAGAGAGAGAGAGAGAGAATTAAATTGTGCATGCATACGTGCATATTACTTGCAATGTAAATTATTAATTATTAATTATTGTTGTCGTTGCGCGTGCAAAAGATTAAATATAACAGCTGTAATAATTTTTTTTAAAATTTCGAAATACATTTCTCTCTTTCGAGAAGATCGTCAATTACTTGGGTCGGTCGCTCGCACGATCAGAATAAGAAGTGCATCGCCTAGAACGTATCCATCGTTCAGCCGCAGTCTCCTGGACACGAGCGGCAGAACGAACGGAAGGCTGCACCTCGAGTGCGGCATCAGAGGGACGCCTAGCCCGACACCGACGTGGTTCAGGTGAAATTCAGGAAAAGCTAATTCTAAACCCTCTTCCAATTTCTCTTTCTTTCTTCCTCTTCTAAAAAATGGATAACGATTCCAGGAATGGACGGCCGTTGGAACGATCGAGCCGAATAAAAAGGTATTTCGACGGGAAAACGGCAAAGATCGAAATATCGAAAGTGAAGTCGAGCGACGCGGGTGAGTACACCTGCGTGGCAACGAACGTGCTTGGCTCTACGAGGAATACTTGCCAGGTGAACGCTTTATAATAATCGTGTTATCTGTGTTCTACTTACACATGCAATTATTATCTCTATTTTGTTTTTCAAATTGTTTCCAACAAACAGGTGACCGTCCTTAGCCCTTCCAATCCATCCACGAGTGACAAGGATCAGCCGAGATTTCTTCACCCACTCGCCGAGGAATCGATCGTCGTGGAAGGTCATTGCTACGAGCTGCACACGAGACTCACGGGTAATAATTGAGAACGAGTGATAACGAGAATTTCACGCTAAGAGCCATTAAAGAATTTCGCGCCAAGAGCACAATTTTCGCGAACGCTTGTCAATTTAATCAACCCTTTGCGCTCCAATGGCTCTCAGGTATCATTCGATTTGATGTAGTAGATTTATTTATGTTTGATTTCTTTAAAGTATCGCTTCACGTGTAAAGTGTATCCAAGTTTGACAACCGTGGGAATAGAAATATTATTTTCAAAGTTTTGTAAGCATGGAATACGGTAATTCGTTATTAAATAACGAAATTATTTCTATTTAAGAAATTGTAGTATAAGAAGATGAAAAATAAGAATAATAGATAATAGTGAATGTGAGGGTTATTGGGTTTGCTCTCAAATTTGCCCTCACGAACCATCTTGATAATTACTTCGTTATTAAAATATCACACAAAACAACGATATAGATTTTATAAATATTCAACAAATTTCCTTTCTTCGTCATGTAAAGATAAAAATATTAAAATATAAAAGTTTTATACGTTAATTTGTCCGTGAGATCATTTTAAGTTAGCTAAAAAATTCATCGAAGTAAATCGTGTGGAGTTGCTTGAAGCGCAAAGGGTTAAAACGTAAATTTAAAATAAAATATCAAGCTGTTTCATTAATTAATGGTTTTTATGCTTTCAGGTACACCGCCCTTCTCGATGATTTGGTTGAAAGACGGTCGCGAGATACTCGACAATGATGAGCACAAGTATGTCGTGTACAGCGATGGTGGTATCGCTCTCAGATTATCCAACGTTTGTCCACAAGACGCTGGCGAATACACTTGCCTCGTTCGTAATAATTTCGGGGAAGCATCCAGCAATGGCCTATTTATCGTTCAAGGTACGTATGTTGAATCAGGATAAAGTTATTTACAATCCATAAAATTTCAGGTTCATACTCGTTACTATTAGTTCATTTCTACATTTAATTACATTCCTTTCTCAAAGGATTTGCAAGATATTAAATGCATCGGTGAACATACATTTTTATTTTGCACGCACAGATTACAAAGGTGTAGCGAAATTGGCGCCACAGTTCACAAAGGCTCCAGTGTCGGTCGTCGCATCGAAAGGAGACATTGCTTGTTTCTGTGCCCGAGTGCAATGCGGAAAACCAATTGAGATCACGTGGACGATCAATGGAAGGGACGTTAAAGAAAATCCAAGGTGCAAGGTATGTCAAAGTGCAATTTTCGAATGATTTCCACACGATACGTTTGTTTCTCTGCAAACAAAAAAGAGATTATAAACGGAACTGATTCCCCAGATCGAAAAAGACGACAGCGTGAGTATTCTCAGGATACACGACGTGCAACAGCGAGACGTCGGCGAGATACGGTGCACAGCATCCGTGGCTGGTAAAGGGCCGTCGATCAGTTGCTCGGCCGAGCTACGATTGAATCGATCCACGAACGAAAATCGAAACGAGAAGCCGCCTTTGGCTCCGCCCAGTTGCAATCGCAGCAACTCCTTACGAAGGACGAGAAAAGACGCTCCTCTTGCGTCGCCTCAACGACGACGCAACGAGTCTCCGTTGCGAGCCAGGTCGTTACCTCGAGGATCCACGCCGAGTCCTATCCTGTCCCCTTTGCCTGTCAGGAGAAATGTATTACCACCGAGCCCGTTACTCGACAGAAAGTCGACCAAACTGCCCGAGAAAACTGGGAACAGGAAAGATGTCAATCTTAAAAAATTCGCGCGTAAAACGACGCAACGAGTGCAACGAGGAAACCGGATGAGCGGACGTCGTCGGACGAGGAGGAGACGTTCATCAGGCAGAAACGATCGAGGGAGACGAGATTATCGGAGAACGAGGAGGAATTGGTGAATGCATCGACGATGACTTCAAACGTTTGCAAGACTGATAAGAACGAGACGAGGCAAGATAACGTTAATAAGCACGATAACACGCCGATAATATGCGTGAAGCACGTACCGGAAGAGATGGAGGAAATGGAGGAGGAGGAGTGCTCGATACAAAAGGATGATGAGATAGTGATGAAGGAGGAGGAGAAGATTGTCGGCGGGGAGGAGGAGGAGGAGTTCGTTGCGGCTTGTATCGTGAAGGTGCCCGCTGATGTCACCGTTTTCAGAGGAAACAGGGTTGTCCTCAGGGTCACGTATCGAGGTCATCCGGAACCGGCGGTCAAATGGCTTCGAGCGGTAAATATCTATCCAGTATCCATATGTGTCCAGTTTTCAATCGTTCGTTCTCTCTAGTTTTCTAGATATCGAAGATTTGTTTAATCGAGTTTAGAGAAAGAAGGAAAAAAAAAAAAAAATACAAGAAGTTCTTGTTATTGTAAGGAAGGATTAAAAAGACGTTATTGTTTTGGACAAGAGAGTCATTATTCCTATTTACATCCATTGAATATAGTTAATATCGAGTTTAAATTCAGCATTGATAGGGCATAATTGCAACTTAATAGAAGTTAAAATGGTTGGACATGAATTATATATAGGGTGGATTGAAAATATATGTGGTGTTGAAGAATTTGGGGGGGGGGAAGGGGTTAGATTAATAGATAAAGAAGATTATTAGTATTAAAAATAAGAGATATGGAATTTTTTAAAATAGATTATAATAGATTAAAGTGATTGAATTTTCAAGATCATTTTTTATACTATTCTTTTCTTAGTAGATGAAGAAAGGATTCGAGCTCGCAAATAAGCAAAAATAATCATGTTGTTCAATGTTCATACATGAAAAATAACCTTAAAAATTAGAATAGAAATAATAGTTATAGAATAATTTTTTTAACTACAAAATAGATATAAAATAAAAATGTTGACCAATCTATTAATAGTAAAATTAATTAAAATTAGTTAGTACAGTAGGATTACACAAGATTATACAAAATGGAGATACTATTACAATTTATTTGTAATATGTCGGTGTTTCTTAAAATATCACTCGAAAATATGTGAAGTGTATTGCAAAACATAAAAATATTGAATCAATCAAAACTTGTAATTGATTGCACAGTATTAATCAATATTAATTAAATTGAAATGCTAATCTTTTTATTTTTAATTAAATAATTTTCAACTTTATCCCTAATTAAAAAAAAATTAAGAAACTATAATGCATGTCCACAGTTTTATTATTATTATTCATTTTTAATCATAGAATTTTTAATTAGGATTAAACGTTATCATGAATGAACTCTTTTTCAAATAATTATTCAAATAAAATTTTTATTCCACTATATTATTTCATTCTAAATGATATTATATGAATATTAATATATTTAAAATAAATTATCTCAATATTTGTATACTTTATTGTATATTTTACTTATTGATATAGATATTTGATATTTAATTCTACTACGAAATCATAAAAGTGAAATATCTATTTTTCAATAATTTTTCTCATATCTAAATTTAAATATATTCCTTTTGATACTACTTGAATGCTTATCTTTAACTTCTTATCTAAAAGGTGAAATCTATATTTCTTATAGATATACAAACAGCCTCATTACCTTTTATCTTCTATTATTGAAACACTTGACAAACAAATCGATTAAAATATAATTTATTTCTCGAATAAATAAAATTTTTATTTTTCAAATCAATTTTTGAACTATACATTTCCAAATTTTATTATTAGAATTAAGAAAAAAGTCATTCAAATCTACTTTCACCTCACATATACCATAAACTTCGTCCCATCCTATACATCGCTCACGATCAAATACGATAAGCTTAATGATATGTGAGCGACTATCAGTCGCTCGTATTCGCTGCTCGCAATCGTGCAAGGTTAATCGAGTATTTAAACGAATATATTTTCTGTTCAAGGGGCGAGAATTAATTCCAAACAAAAAGACTGCGATCACGTATGGCGGAGGTGTCTCTTGCTTGATATCCGACGATGTGACGGCTGATAATGCCGGAAAATACGAGGTGTCCGTGGAAAATAAACTTGGGAAAGATCGACGATGTTTCAGCGTTGCCGTTGAAGGTACGTATAGCGAGATATATACGTCGAAACGAATTATTATTAGTCAACGAGTCGTTATTAATCGTGTATAAAATCAAATAGAAGTGATTCTAAAAGAAATTACATTGGCATTACGTAAGTGGGTCTCGAGTAGAAGCAAGACATAAATTCAAGCATATCTGTATATGTGTTTAAATACGGAACACGAACAAGAAAACGATTCATGTTTACAAAGCTATGAAATGAGCTTACATCACTCGCTTAACCTGTGTGCGGGACGATATGCGCTTCTTATGTATGACATAATATCCGTATTTGTGTGATATAAAAACTGTGTGATATAAATAGATAATTATAATGTAAAAAATGGTAATTAGAGTTATCAGTGTATAATAAATGATGTACAATATGTAAAGTGGATTGCACAAATTATATTATCTTTAGAAAATTGATTTAATTAAAAAATGATTTGATTTGAAAATTTATTAGTATAGAACATAATAGATTGATAATTTTTTTACTATTTTATCGCCTAGTAATATGATGTATTATGTAATAATTTTTTTTCTTGATAAAATATCTATTTAAGTATTTGAAATCATAACATAATCTTTATATTTTCATTATTTCTTTTTTTTTTCTTTTTTCTTTTATATTAATTTCGTCTGAAAATATATATATATATTTTTTTTTACAATAGAATATTACAAAATTTGAAAATTTATAAAGTCATACTTTAAAAATGGAAGAAAATATTGAAATTTTGAAGCTTAATTTTATTCATTCAAAATGATAATTCCAGTAATAAAAAAAATTACCCCATGTAGATCATTGTGCTCTACATATTCACAAAATTTCATATAATGCAGAAATTATAAAGATTTTGACCGTATAAATAGAACTGGAAGAAAACAAGTAATATCTTCTTCCAGTTCTTCCACGATAGTAACGTAATAAAACATGAGATAGTAGATATGTAAAGCATCTCCCTTTCAAACCTGAACATACATGCATAATCTAAGTAAATGTGAGTAATTGTTCGTTGAGAATCAGTGCATGAAAATGAAAAATTTCTTCATTAAATTAGTAAAATTGTTTATATCGTTAATTAATAAATAAACTTCTTGGTAAAGTTTCCTGAGAATATTACAAATTTTATATGGACGATAAATGCGGATAATTAACAATGCAATAATTAATCGTGCTAATTTCAGAGTTAAAATAAAATCGTAGAAGCCATAGAAATAGAAAAAAAAATTAATTCCAATATTTCTTGATCGAACGAAATTATACATTTTTCTTAATTTGTTGCATTTCTTAAACAGTCAATTTATTAAAAGTTTAAATATTTTATTTTATTTTTTTTAATGTACGTGAATAATTTCAAGAGAACGTTTATACAATATAACAATGATAATAATCTTTTTAATTAATACAATTTCATAATCCAGAAAGAAAAGAGAGGAAAATAATGAAAAAAAAAAATTCTAAATAATAAATAATTTCGAATAATAATTCGAGATCTGTCAAAATTTTGAATTTAAAGAAAGAATCAATCAATTATGATTGGAGGAGGTAGTTCTTAAGCTTAAGAATATTCGTAAAACTCCGCTGTTCCGATATAATGCCTAAATAACGAATGATTACACGTCACTCGACGTCGCCAAACGCAATTTAGAACGAAACAAGCACTGTTCCACGTGCGTAAGCGCGTGTCACACGGTCCAGTTCCGCTTCTTATGTACAAGGTAGACGGCAGTCTCACGTGACGTATCGCGCAATAATTCCTTTCCTCGTTTTTCGTTGCGTCCCCACCATATGCCTCGTCTACGCTTCCTCTTCGCTTGGGATCACGAGAGGACGAAACAGTGGTGAAAAAGTACGTGTACCGTGTACGTGAATCGATATTCGTCTAGAATGACTGGAGACAGTAAAACGACAAGGGAATTTTCACTACGTTTAATATTCTAATTTATTCTAGATTGGTTTTGTTCGAGTGATTGTAAGGAGAAGAGAGATTCTTGACAAGAAGCAAGAATGGGTAATGGAAAGTTATTTATTATTGGTGTAGTAATTACTGCTGGCAAAATGAAATAATTTGTCGAAATGTTGTATAAATATTTATCTTTATGAATGATTGTCATTGATTGTGCGTAGATAATATAGGAGGACAACGATTTAAAGATGTGACATTTTAATAAAAATTGGTATGATTAAATGGTTTTAATGTAATAGTGAAATAATTAAAGAGTTTATAATAAAATATAATGATTTTCATTTAATTTCGTAAGATTCGATAAAAATTCGTAATTTAATTATATTTGAAATTATCGATAAAATTTGTAACATTTGTGTAGCAATGTACTATTTTTGTTAATTGGAAAATTTTCTAATTTAAAGAAAGAAAAGAAATTAAAAATTGTTCGATATTTCTCTGTTCTTTTAGAACAAAGATTAAAAATAAGATTCATTTTTTCGATTCGTACGTGAAAATTCATCCTCTTCTAATTTAAAGATTTTAATCTATGTAATTAGTAATTGATGATTCATATCGGAGGAAAAATAACCATACTTGTTTATATAATTTCAAATGAATCGTTAAACAAGAGGTCTTTCATTTACTGTTTATCAGTGATCGCTTTTAAAGAAAAAAAAAAAAAAAAAAAAAAACCTAAGTCGTTTGAAAAGTAAACGATAGATCGAGAAAAAACGCGTTCCACGTGTTTCTACAAATCGTCTTACTAATGGATCTGATTAAAAACTGTTTACATTACGAATATAGATAACATTTAAAAAATCCAACATCTAATTAGCGTTGCAGAATAGTACAAATTGATTAGAAATTTAAATAAAAATGATTGTAAAATACCAAACATTCGAGAGATATGTTATCGCGATGAATAATCCGAAAAGAAATAAATTTATAAGTTCATCGATTATTTCAAATAAATTTCAAATATTCGAAAAATATATTTCGACGAAATTGCTTGCAAAACAAAATAAATTTTTTTAACAATTCTCTTATCCATTTCCAGTTTGTAATAATAGGAAACAAAGCAAGATTAGAAATTAACATTTTTCAAAATGTCAAATATTATTCGACGAATACTTAACGATGTATCTATTCAAAATTGATTTCACAACGAAACGACCTTTCTTTCTTATCTTTTTTTTCGCAGGTCCACCCGACCCACCGGCAGGTATTCCAAACATATGCTGCTCCACGGGTACAGCAACCATCAATTGGCGGTCGTCACCTTACGATGGCGGTTGCACGGTCACCGGTTACACCGTGGAGATGAATCATGCCGGTGAAAATAGGTGGACAACGATCGCGGAATCCTGCCTCTCGCTCAGCATCACCGTTCCTTCCGACACCGTGATACCCGGTGAAAGATATCGTTTCCGCGTGAGAGCTGAAAATATCCACGGGGTTAGCGAACCCGGCGACGAATCTCAATTTGTTCGAATCCCGAAAGAAGGTGAAATGTGGCTGGAGGAGGATGAAGAAGGTAATTGTAAAAATTGTTCGAGCAAATATTCTAAGTAAATTATTTCTCATTAAAAATCGATTTACATTATTCTCGTAAAATATTTCATCCCAACATTGAAAGTATATACGTGTGTTAAAGATAGATAATTTGAAAAGATTAATCGAAACTTTCACACAACATCCCTACTTTCTTAAAATGCAACATCCATTTATGAGAATGTTTCCTTTCGAAGAGTTCGATCCACCGTTCGAAGCTCGAATAGTCGAAATGGAGGATGGGCATTTGTTCAACGATCGATACGAGGTATTGGAGGAATTGGGTAAAGGCCGATACGGAACCGTGAGGAGGATAATCGAAAAATCGTCGGATACGAATTTCGCGGCGAAATTCGTGAGAACGATTAAAACGAAGGATCGAGAGCAAGTTCGGGAAGAGATCAGGATCATGAACATGCTGCGGCATCCGAAACTTCTCCTGCTGGCTGCCGCTTTCGAGAGCCCTCGAGAGATCGTGATGGTCACGGAATAGTAAGCTTTCGTCATTTCGTCAAGAATGTTTGAAAGATTCGATATATTTATTTTATTTACTCGTAGTATTTCCGGTGGCGAACTTTTCGAGAGGGTGGTCGCCGATGACTTCACCTTGACTGAAAGGGACAGCATACTGTTCATGAGACAAATCTGCGAGGGTGTGGAGTACATGCATCAGAACAAAGTGGTGCACTTGGATCTGAAGGTGAGGATTATTTTTTTTAACATCATCATTAATATCATTAAAATTAAAATTAAAGCTTAAAATTTTGTATCTTTTCGTCGATCAAAAGATTTGCAAATATAATTGGATCGTTGTTTAAATTTTAAGAAAATAGGAAAATAAATGTTGTAACATTCCTAATATTGGAATAATATTGCAATTTAAACGAATTCATTCTTTTGAAAATTATTTGACAAACTCTTATTACACACTACCAATTTAATATCTTACGCAATATTAGTAATAATCGATGCCAATCTCTATTATAAATGAAATTTAATCACAGAGAGACTCTCGTGATGCTTTTCTTCTTTTTCATATTGATTGAAATTTGAAATAAATTCCAATTCTTTCCAGCCAGAAAACATAATGTGCAGGACACGAACGTCCCATCAAATCAAGCTGATCGATTTTGGCCTGGCGCAGACACTGAAACCCGACACGCCGATCAGAGTTCTCTTCGGCACCCCGGAGTTCATTCCGCCTGAAATTATAAATTACGAGCCGATAGGCACCGAGTCGGACATGTGGAGCGTCGGTGTCATCTGTTACGTCCTGTGAGTGACGATTAAAATTGTAATTTTAACTCGACGTTTTAAGGATCTCTCGAGTAATGAACACGATCGTAAAACGTGATCAGATTAACCGGTTTGTCCCCGTTCATGGGCGACAACGACGCCGAAACCTTCGCCAACATCACTCGAGCCGACTACGACCTGGAGGATGAGGCCTTCGATGCGATCTCGAACGACGCTAAGGACTTCATCAGCGGTTTGCTTGTCAAGCGAAAGGAGTACGTGACAAAATAATAATATCTTTAATAAATAAATACTTTTTCACGAGGAGATGGATATTCGAAACTTGAAACATTTTTTGAGAATCGATTTATTTATTAATTTATTATTTATCGAGTCATAATCGACATCAATTTTTGTTTAAAATTTTATTACATACAAGTGTCCGTCGCACAAGTATAATGTCGATTATCCAAACATGCATATAAAGTAACAATTTTAACAATCTGTAATTTTGTTGAACAACAGTCAATTATTGAAATACGACGTTTCTAGAAATTATATCGTATCGTTAAGAATATCTCTTTAAGCGTTACAATTATTTAACATATGAACGGGTGATTTATAGATCGCGAATGTCGGCTAGACAGTGTTTAGAGCACTCTTGGATGGCGCAACACGCGGAAGCAATGAGTAGGATAGCCTTGCCGACTGAGAAGCTGAAAAAATTCATCGTGCGAAGAAAATGGCAGGTAAGAATTATTTTTTCACATTGTGACGAAGAGACGAAGATCTATTCTCACACATCTTGCTTGTACTTGGCTTACAATAATATTTTATCGCATTGTTGTGTTAGATTGTGTAGCCTTTCAAGTTTTCGTCTCTCGCTTGAACCATTAACTTTTCTCGCCCATCCGTGTTTCTATTAAATTGAAAATTCAGTGAAAAACGAACGCACGATTTTTTTCCATTCTTATTAACGACAAATCATAATTTCTTTATAAAGAAAAAGATTGCAAATACAAAATATATCCAATGTACGAATCAGTGGACAGCTTGCCAATTTGTAAAAATTATCTTCCAAATTCTTGAAAAAAACATGAAAAAGAAAAATCACTAATCCCAAGCATGGATTTGATTTCGTATTTGCGTTTCGTGTGCGCTTTTCGTCTGTTACAATAGAAAACGGGAAACGCCATTCGTGCACTCGGAAGGATGGCAATCCTTTCGGCGAACAGCAGACGGGGTCCAACCACGATAGAATCCTCGCCAACCCCCACCTCTGCCGACCCCCCTCGAACGATCGATTTCGAGGGATCGGCCGGCGACGGGTCGAGATCGTCGTGCAACTCGACAGCGGAAGGGGGGGACGGCAGAGGCGTGCCGAAGAACGTGTACTCCTTCTGTTACAAAACCGAGATGAGCATCTTGCCCGAAGAAACCGTACACTCCTCTCTGGAAGGGAGGACGAGCAAGGACGCCGCCCCCTCGTTGAAAAACGAACCGAGGGATCGCGACGACGGTGTATCGTGTTCCCCGGGAAAAGAATCCGGTGAAATAATCCGGGGGGGAACTGATACTCTCGAGGAGATGCAGAGCGTGGTCCAGACAGAAGAGTCTCGGTCAGAAGAATCGGCGCGTTCTATGGAGAGGATCGAGGAGGAAACGGTGGCGCGGATCGTGGAGGAGCGCGTATCGCCGATAAAGGAGGAGACGATCTCATCGATCGAGAGGAATTTGATCGATTTTGACGGCGACCCGACGACGAGATCGTCGGCCAACGTCGAGGGGATCGATTTCTCGCGAATGAGATCGGCGGCGTGGAGCGTCGAGGAGGAGGGGGAGGAGGAGAAGGGGGACATCGTGACGGAGATCGAGAAGGAATTGAAGGAGAAGATGGATCAGGAGGGGGGCACGCAGAAGCCTCGCCGGGTTTTCAGGGGCGACTCGCGCGACTCCGGGATCGGTGACTGCGCCTCGAACTTGTCCACGTCCTCCCAACAGGTGAACGAGTTGGGTATATCGGCGATCAAGGAGGAGGAGGCGGCTGACAACGAGAGTAACAACAACAATAATAATAATAAGGGCTTGTTGGAAAAGTTGGGACAGTTCGAGGATCGCGGAACGTTGCTCGACGACGATATCGGGGAAATATCGGCGAACGTGGGAGGCATAAAAGTTTCGGATCCAAAGAGACATACCAAAAAAGGGAGTATCGAGGTAGCTACGCTGGGCGGTGTGAATAAAGCTTCGCGTGAAATTAATCGGCAGCATGAAGGTGTGTTTTTTCAATGTGCAACACTTTTCCGTTACGAGTTTTCTTTTCTTTTTTTTTTTTTTTTTTTTCTTAATCGATTACATTGGATTAAACTTCGTTCGATGATTAAGAGTTGAGATCGGGTTGAAATTCGGCGTTTGTGTTTTTCAGTGTCCAGCGAGATTGAGGACCCGAGGTTATTAATCGGGAGAATTCGTAGCAAATTCGTCCCGACCGGAAACGTGAGTCGTACCGCGAAATTATTCGAGAAAGAGGCGGCGGCGGCGGCGGCGGCGACGACGGTGGCGACATCCAAGTCATCCGGCACAAACGTTCCACAAATGTCGGAACGCGTTTATCCCTCGATCGCCACGGCAGCGAAGAAACCGAATAACGAAAGGATACAAAAGGCCTTCGCCTTTTGGAATAAGTAGATCGTGGATTAAGAAAAAAAAAAAAAAGAAAGAATCGAAAATATTCTTGGCGAATAAAAATAATTCGGGAATATTGAAAATCGTTCGACTGAAAGCTCTACGCGGTACCTTATGACTTATTACACTTGAAAGTGTAATTTTCTAGTTTTTTTCTTAAGGGAAATATAGTATATACGTAATAAAGTAAGTTGTTTTTTTTTTTTTTAAATCTCGAAACGCACATATGTTGTTAAGACAAGTTAATTTAAAGAAGAAAAAAAAAACGTGCACATATTCATGATACGAGAAAACGAAAAAAGAAAAAAAATGTTTAAGCAGTTCGCTTTTAGCATAAACGGTTTAATAAAAAAAAAATGATACGTATTTAATTTAAGTAAACGTAATTATTACGCTGTATTGTCTCATCTTGTATTGTCTTCCTTTTAATCGAAATTAAAAAAAAAATTTTCCGCGAAAACAAGACTCGATTTTTTCGAGATTTACATTCTTTGCTCCGTAGATTCTGTTTGATGATTTCAGAGTTTCGTATCAGGTATTCCCAGATACACGGCAAACGAGATAAGATTCCGTCTGCTTAGTCGATGCGTGTAAATAGCTGTCAATAACATTTTACAAGAGGTAGAAGTGTAACAAGTGTATTTATTACATCCTTTGCATCATTTGGCCATCTTGCATCTGAGGGCAAGAAGGCGATTAAAAATGTATTGTTATAAATATATATATATAAATAAAATGGAATAAAAATTCGATACAAATCAATTTTTCGTCAATCCTAAAAAAATTATAAAGCCCGTTCGAAGAATAATAAATGTTCCGGGACGGGGAGAATTCGTAACTCCTCCCCAATGTCCAAATAATAAAATTCGTCCGTGGTTACGGGATTCCAATCGACGTTGACAAACTCGTCTTTAACCGAGACGGGATCTCTGGAATTAAAAAACGTAGGGGAATAATATTCTACGAAATTTCTTAATTACACGTTTCATATTTACCCCGTTTTAGCGAAATTCGTCCACATCCTGGTCATTCGTTCCAACGTGATCCTGTCCTTCGTTCCAACCGCCGGTGGATCCGGATTTTCAACTTTACACTTGGGCAAATATAACAAGTAAGCGATATCGTCCACGTGAGATGTTCCTGAGATAAATTATTTGAGATGTAATTTAGATGAATTTCTCGACATGGCCTTGAATTTCGAATTAATTTTTAAATAAGAAATTACACATTTGTCACTTAAAACACGATTAATTATTATGGGATCGTGATGCAACAAAGATTGGTATATAAGATACGTGCATTAAATAAATAAGAGTGCAAATAAGTTCTTTCCTCCTTTTTTTTTTTCCAAATTCAAGATTTTATTACATAAATCAGCTACAAGATTACGTATCAAGATATCGTCATCTTTCAAAATATAAAATTTCCGGCTTCGAATCTTTGATACCTTTTGCATCTTTTGTAAAATACTGCGTCTCCCAGTAGCACCATTTCAGTAGCTTCGACAGCTGATTTCCTAAGCTGGAATGCAAAGAGTAAGCAACGAATGATGCTTCATCGCGACTCTTCTTGAAAACGAAAGAACGCTCTTCCAGATGGCGCCACGAACGATTGTGAAGTGGAAATATAAAAAAATTCAACCATTTATCATCCAACAAATAATAATATAATAATAGTGATCGATGATTTATTTTTATACTATTTTTGTTCGAATTAATTCATTTAATTTTAATTAGAATAATAATTCACGTAGATTTTTAAAACGTTAAATAATAAGATTAAAATATTGAATTTTAAATTAAGTTGGTCACAATAATTAACACATTAATTAAATTAAAAATTAAATTTCCATACACAGCAAGCAACATTTTCTAGTGGTAGATTCAGAAGTATTTATGATCGTAAAAAAAAAGAAGGGGGAAAGATCGTTATTTGCACAGCTAATAATTGGAAATTTCAAAAAAAAAGAAATATAGTTACCAGAAGCTTGTCGTTTCACCAGCAAATCGGTGGGTGTTTTCTCATTGCCAACGTACGAAAATTTGCAAAAGTAGCTGGGTGAAGTTACCCTTCTTATTCGATCCTGCAGCCACAGGATCGCGGGAATGGCAAAATAAACGTTGCCCAAAAATTCCGTCAATTCGTTGAAATCATTGGCGGTGATCGAGTTCCCGTTGAAGTAACGCTCCTTCACCGATTTGTATAAAATTTTAACTTTCTCATCCTCCAACATCTTCAACGATCCTAAGTTTTTCACATGCGTCAATAGATACGAATTGAATAAACGTATGAGCTGTTCGCTTTTATCTGAAAAAGAAGAAACGAATACGTATGATTTTATCATTACAGTCTTATTTATCTTCTCTTCTTAAATGAAAAAAATTACTTTGCAAAAACATAATGAACTCGTTGGACGTGTGGCTGGCCATCACGGGAATGTCTACCTCTTTTTTAATTAATTCTTCCAAAGATTCTGGTAAAACAGGATTCTCCGCTATTTCGTCGCTATTCATTCCAAAAGCAAGGTTAAAACTTAATCTTTCCTAAAAGAGATAAAGAGATAAGATATATATTTCAAGGGGGAAATTGCGTAAAAATATTCGCGTCTTAGTCGAAATCGATCAGGAATCATTTTTATCCAAGATTTTTCCAAATTTGTTTAAAAGCTTGGATTGCTGCGATCTATCGATTTTTGTGAAATTATAATCTACGTATAATATTCGTACTCGATTCTTCGCAACTTTTTAACATTTAAATTCTCGATAAAGACTTATTTTAGGCTTGGAAAACTTGAAGAAACTTCGCTCGTTACAACATAATTAAGAAAAATGTTTGATCAGAAGCGCGAGAAGATAGATACGAAAGAAAAAGATACTTGCCTCTTGCGACAGGAGAGCTGTCTGGGCGCGTACGATATCCTCGGCGGATATTGTCCGCAGGAATTCGACTACTTCGACAGGATCGTTGGACAAATTTCCAAGATACTTGGCCAAATTGAAGCCACGCTCGGGACGGCTTTGATTAATCGCCCAAAAACTTCGCATCGATCCACTTTGCACGATCGCTTTGTGGAATAATCCTGAAATATCAAATTGGAACAACCCGACTCGAGCCGATAAAATAAGCTTGAGAAGAATAAAGATTGAATTGTACCTTTTGCGCGCGGCGACATGAGCAAAGCGTGAGTTAAAGCTGCCCCGGCGCTAACCCCGAAAATCGTCACGTTATCGGGATCTCCGCCGAAGCTGGCAATATTTTCCCTCACCCATTCCAACGCCGCGATTATATCTTTCAACCCTTGATTCCCTGGCGCCACTTTGTGACCCAGATTCAGAAATCCTTCAAATACATCGAAAATTAAATCGATTAATTGATTAATTAATTCTTATTCTTTAATTGGATCATTCGTTTTCTTTTTCTTTTTTTTTTATGTACAAAGTTCTCTTTTGAGAAATTGAAGAAGGAGAAAAAAGTCCAATGATGACAGAGAGAAATTATTCCAAAGTTACGATTTATTCGATCCGATAAATGGATAAATAATACGAAACTGACCGAATGCTCCGAGCCTGTAGTTAGTCGTGACGACGACAACGTCTTTCGCGAGCAAATAATCAGGTCTGAAGTGCTGAAAGCTTGAGGAGCCTATTGTGAATGCACCATCATGAATCCAGAACATGACTGATTTCTTTGATTGAGCAAGGGAATTAGTATAGACGTTTAGATAAAGGCAATCCTCGTTGCCGATAATCAATGGTGGAGCATCTTGGACCTGGGGGCAGATGTACTCGTTAACTTCGGATGTGTCCTTTACGCCAGTCCATGGTTCAGGTGGTTGCGGGTCCTATTATTTTTTTTTTTTTTTTGTTATAAAAAATTTCACGAATCAAGTTAAACGTTGTTACAGTCACAGGAAAGCATTATTTAGATTTCAATAAATCGACTCGACAATTATCGTTATATATATATATAAAATTCGAATCATAAGATAGAATTATTATTAAGGAAAAATTGTTGTCGTACCTTGAATCTGAGCTCTCCAATGGGAGGAGCAGCGAAAGGTATTCCTCTGAAAGCGATGTACGGGGAGCCTAGGCTACTTTCTAGTTCCGCACCTTTTAATTTCCCTTCTTGTACTATTACTATTAAATCACTCATTTTTTTTCCACTAAGTTTTTATCCAATTATTATCGTTGTTATTTCGTATAAATGTTCACAGTTTTTAATTTTAATTTTATATAATTTTAATTTAAGATTGCGTATTTTAAATCATTTTAATTTTCTCTCTCTAAATTTCGATTCTTAAGATAAACTATCACTTGTAATTCGTAAGAGTGCTTAACTGCTAGTGAACGTACTTACATGTAAGATTAGATTAATCTCGAATCCTGTATTTATATAAAAAATATAATTATCTAAATATAGCGTTTTATATACACAATAAAACTAAATAATTTTAATACCCCCTGGATTAAAAGATATCCGTACGATTTTCCATGTGTATTTTTGATTTATATTTATATCCTATTTATCTTATATCATCTTTTTTTTTATCCCCATCACGCACTTTTTTTTGTCCACGACTTTCGTCGTGAAGTGAATATGTAACTTTTAAAGATTTTAAAATAGCAATAGAAAGGTAAATAAATTGCAACGAAAGTTATTATAATGAATTTTCGAAAAAAAAAACGATAAATACTCGGTGGTATTTATGTTTAGGTAAAAAAAAAAAAATAACCTAGACAAATTTTCAACATCGACATTAAATAACAAAAAATAAAAAAGAATATTGCCTCGTAACAAGAGATAACGTATCATATTATGAATACATAAGAATAGATTAGAAAAATAATAGAAGACCAACACTAATAAACTTTACTGTCTTTCTATAATATCTAATTTCCAATGTATTTTGATTCAGATATTAAAACACAAATAAGACAAATATATATACTTTGAGTTGATTCAAATAATACGGAAAATAAAAAGAATAACGTAACGAGAATAATAGATTATTACTAACAGATATTCAGGAAAAGTATGAAAATATCAAAAAAAAGTAACAAATGTTATTACATATAAAAAAATGAATAAATAAAGAAGAAAAACAAAAATTGGGCAAAAATTGAAACGTACAATTAATAAAGATAAATTTTGATAAAAATCGATTTTCTCGAAAATGAGGCATCATTGTCCAAGATCGGCATTATTAAAATTTTAAAACTTACGAGGCAATCTATAGCAGGGATGGCGATATCGCTATGATGTCATCGATTATTACAAAAAAGACAATTATATTACTTATTGTATTAGCATTTAACATCTGAATAGGCAGCATTCAATATATTAGTCATGTCTGTATTTAATAGGCGGTGCTAAAAATTTTATTATATCGTAAACTTTTTTAACATTATTGCTTTTTTTTTTCTTTTTGAATAAAAGGATAAAAGGTGTGTAATAAATATATATAATTACTTCGAGGCATTCTTTTCAGAATTGAATTTATATTTTTAACGTAACATACTCTACGTTTCAATTCATTCTATGCAGCGTGATTATGAAGAGTCATTTTTATGAAAAGTGATTGGCACTCTTGTATTTAATAAACAATTTTAGGCTTGATTCTTACAGTTATATGATATGATTGGATAAATATTCCGAACTTAATTAATTTAATTATTTGAATAATTCGTTTTCAAAACTATCTCGGTATCAAACGTTATTTCTGATAAAATAGCGATGAAAAAGATACTACTATTTACTCATATCCTAGATTTGTGCAAGACGATTATCATTTGGAATGAATCACGACGATAAAACGATAAAGAAATTTTCAAGATTTTTTCAAGATTCGAATTTTCAATTTATCGAAAGATTGCGAAAGAGAAAAGGAGCGATTTCTTACAAAAAAATGATTGAAATAATTTATCAAGAAAATTACGTTATACAGAGTAGACAAAAGTGGTCTTCATATTAAAAATGATTTTGAAATCGCACGTGGATTTCCCTTAACAGATTGAACATATGACGAACATATCATACGCTGATATTATAGGAGAGGAGATAATGAATTTTAAAAGAAATTTTGAATTTTAAAAATATATCTACCAATTTCCCAACAATTGATATATAACATTGTAACAACATTGTTAACTATTTTATGGCTGATATATACTGATTCATATTATTTGATATGAAGTTATTTTTTTTTTTCTTTTTAATGTTCAACTATTCTAATTTTGACAATAATCGACATAATTTTTTTTTTTAATTTGTTTCATTCTTAAAACAAACGAATGGATTGGGAAAAAATATCATTTCATTCATTACAGTTTCGTAAAATAAGGAAAAATTAATATAAAATAAAAAATGTTATTCGCTAATTAATCTGAACTGATGTTCTGATGACTGAATGATATTAAAATTGTAATTACAACTAAGACTAATATATAATAATAATCAGTTTCAAATTGTAATATTAATTTATTTATGTAATATGATTTACGATATAAATGAAACTAAAGCTCAAAATTTCATTTTTTTATTCTTTTGAACTTGATAATTGATATATTTTAATAACTATTTTATATATATATAATAATAACTTTTTTATATATGATAATTTTATAATAGTATGAGATAGAGCAAAATTTTAAATTAAAATATTTTTAACGATTTAAAAATGATCACTTCATAAAATAAGTAATGCTGTGTCATCATATTTATATAATTTTTAAAAAAATTAGAATTTTTTTAATTGAATTTCTTTATATTACAAAGTTTTACTTTATACTTTCTTATATATATATATTACAAATATTTTTGTTGATGGCTATATCTTTAATGAAAATAATATTAATCGAAATTTGATTAAATTCAAATTCAATTCATCTTATCCAGAATGCGAAAAACAAAATTGAAATTGTTACAATTTGATTTGATTAATTTTAATTGATTATTAATAATTCCTTCGCTTATTTTTTACATTTATATTTTCCAATCGTAATTTTTCAATCGAAAATTATTTGACTCTTTAATCTTTTCTAAAAGTCGTATTAATGTCAATAGCAATTTTTTATATTGAAATTTAAAATCTATAACATAGATCGATATACAGCTTGCTTCTTTATAAGACAATATTGATAAAATAAAAAATATATAGTATGCAATCATTTATTTTTAAACTTTAAATTGACATGCAATACATATTATTCAACGTTTGAATTGTTTTTTTTAAATTAATAAAATGATCGTTTCATATACAATAACTTAATATAAAACAATTAATCGAGCAATCGAAATTATAATGATTTAAATTGTAATAATAGCGATATCTATCCAATAAAATTTTGTTAAGATATATTTTATATAGATTTGCCAATTTTTATTACTACTATAATAAAAAATAACAAGTTTAAATTTATCTTTTAATTAATGGGTAAAATTTAATTAATGGACAAAAGTCTCTCCATTGACTTAAAAACTTCAAATCTAATACGTGAAAATCGTGAAAATCAAACCTTTTAATGTTTATATAATACAATAAATACACGGCACACATACATATACAATACACGAATTCGTATATGAGAATATAATAAAAATATTATATATTTTTTACTTTTATTCTCTTCACCTTGATAATTCTACACGCACCAAATTAAAAACATATCGAAATATCACTCATTTACATTTATTTTACATTTATTTCATAATGTCATCACGAAATTTAAATACTAGATCTATCCTATGCCTCGTCTACGATATAACTAATGGCAGCGATAAACTACGGCAGCAATTTACCATACTTTATTCCTTACCGTCTATACTTCTCTAACGGTTTAGCAAGATTAGATATAATTATTTACAAACAAATCATCGAACGAATCATCGATTTCGATGATTCTTAGAAAACAATATTTGGAACAATTACTATACATATAACCGCATAATTTTCGAAATATTTTCAAATAAAATAGATTGTTACTACACTTACTTATTCCATCAGACCTACCAACGTTCAAAATAGATGAATTAATTAAATTATGAATAATTAATTTTTTTTACGAGTTTGATCAGAATTATCTGTCTAGTTCTGTTCTAGTTCTACTCAGGAGGAATTTAGGCGAAAATAAAATGTAAAAGAATACTTTTTTATCGAAATTACAATGACAAGAATAGACACAACAATAATGATATCACTATTATTGTAAAATCGATCGTTCAAAAATTGTTTTATATTTTTTTCTTTTTTTTTGGAAATAATTACATGAACAAATGTGTGAACAATTTCTATAAAATATTCAAACTATATAAATCGACAATTTGTCAGTGGTTAATTTTTTTGATCGCTTTGTTATCGCAATGTATTTATATTGAGAAAAAATAAATACTTACAACTCGCATTAAGAATGTATAGATGAAGTTCTATTAATAATATTTTGTATAATTTTATTGCACATATGTATAATTTGTATAATCATAATTAGTAATAAAATAGCAGTTTCGTCTTTTTTTAAAAAAATCACAAGATAAAAAGTATATTATCGATAGTTTTCCCCCATCAAATTCATTTGTCGCTTTAATGAAAGCTATTTGTAAAAAGAATTTGATAAAAAGTACTTTACTTTATCAATCTTTCCCCTAATTCGTTCAATGATGAAAAACTTATGAACCTATGAACTTAGATCACTAAACTGAATACAAATATTCAATGTTTCTATTCTGAACTTACGGATCGTGATTTTCATCTTGTCAAATCAAACATAATTATAAAATATAATTATAAACTCAATCAAAAAATAATTATACTTTTTTCATCGATAACAAATTCTTAAAATATATTGAATGCATTTAAATACATTTGAATAAATAATAAATGATATTAACGACATAATTTAATAATTAATGTATGTAAATAACATATAAATACGATCTTATAATAAAATATATGTAAAATATATTTATTGATATTAAAATATATTGAAAATATAAAAAGACGTTTAACATTTATCGTTTAAGAAAATCAAGAGTTAATCGATTCTTAATTGATTAAAATCTATCGAAGAAAATATAAAAAAAAAAAATCTTTGCATTTCTTCAAAAATGATCTGAAATTTTAAGGAATGGGAAAAGAGGGAAGAAAAGAAACCTGAATATAAAATTTTAGCTTCGAGTCCTCATTCGAGTTTCTAAAATATTAACA